GTCCAGAGGACCTATACAGTTTTTTTCTTTTTGATTTTTTACCTGGATTACTGAGATGCACCAGGACACTAATCCTCTTTCGTAAATTTCAGTTTATTATTTTACAAGAGTGTATAAAAAAAGATCTGTGTCAGGTTTAAATAATGATTTGCAGTAGATGATTATTAAAAATAGGGCATGTACACTATATTCAGGGATAGTCCAGGGATTTTTGACCTGGTGTTTTGTCAAATAGTTATAAAWAGATAGTACCTTGTGAGATGGTTTTAAACTTTACAACAGTGTACATAGTAAGTAAATATAAATATAAAGCACTTTTCATAGAAATAACTTCACAAAGTGCTGTACAATACAAAAATACACAAAACAACAATGCAATAAAAATATCATGGAGCCATCCAGTATTTCCAACYCAAAAGGTGTTTCAGCAACAGCATTGAGCCAAGGAAAAAGAAAAAAAAAGAAAAAAAAGACAACAGTAAAAATAAAATACCAACCCATTTACATTTACATGCAAAAAATGAATAAAAGAAACAAACATATTTTGCTGGTTGAGTACATTTACTGTATTTAATCATTCAATCTTGAGTATACTGTAATATGATCATCATTTTTTTGAGCTTAAAAAGCCTAAAAAAATAATCATCAGTGTCCCTTGTATGTGGTGCTATAATACTTTTTTTTCAGCAAGCGGTGTTATTGTTGGTGTTTTTAAGAAATTCAGCTGAAAACTGGGCAACAACTAATATACTGGGTTGGTCACTGTGTTTCTCCAGATGTAAAGGTCATATTGCCGAAGATGAACATCAAGCAAGAAGAAGAACAAGATGAAGAGGAATAGGCTGGTGTTTTTTTCTATTTTGCACATGTTTCAAGGATACAGTGCATTGATCAGTTCTGTCCATCACACAGTTACTCACCCAAATTACTTAAAGAGGGAGGGGAGGGGGGGGTCGGATGACGATAATGCGATCGAGTACTTTTTGATTGATGGCTACAAAGAATTTCCTCAGAGGAACTTCAAAAAAATGGCACAGAGAGCAGCGACAGAAGCAGCGGGAACAACCACAGCAGCAGCAGCAGCAGCRGCRGCRGCGGCGGCGGCGGCRGCGGCGGCRGCAGCAGCGACATCAGAACGAACAGTTCAGTGTTTCATCTGGTAGCTTCAAAGAGCCACAGCAGACTCACCTGTTCAGTCTGGTTCAGAAAGCTCCTCGTCAGAGCAAGAAGTCTTCAGCTGAATTAAAAAGAAAAAMAAAACATTTTCTATTTACATTATTTTTCTTTCCTTTCATCATTAATTGACTGTTCTTTATTTTTTTTTATTTCATTATTTTCCTAAATTGCACAGTGCTTTACAGGCAAACGCACGCGTGCGTGTGTGTGTGTTTGTGTGTTTGGCCACAGCCGTGACCCCTCCCCACCCCCTCCCCTATACAGCTCAATCATCACGCCAAAGACTCATCATCTGCACCCGCAACAATGTGGAGCCCAAATTACTCACCAAGCTTCCTGAAACTGTGCCTGTCTTCATCATGGGTTCAAAACCCCAGAAAACGTGTGTGTCTGTGCGTGCGTGCGTGCGTGCGTGCGTGCGTGCGTGCGTGCGTGCGTGTGTGTGTGTGTGTGTGTGTGTGTGTGTGTGTGTGTGTGTGTGCGTGTGTGTGTGTGTGTGTGTGTGTGTGTGTGTGTTTGTTTGTTTGTTTGTTTGTGTGAGACCTGATTGATTCTCAAGAAAGAAAATGGTACGTAAATCCAATCTGGGATGAATCCGAGGATCCCTGCAGCTCCTGTTTGTGTAAACACATGATTCTGCGTGCCTCCATGACTGAATCGGACTGATGGAGCGAGAGTTTCTTTTTTTTTTTATTTGAGGACTAACACTTTGAAGAATTTGGGATTGGTAGTCTGGCTTATTTAGACAATTAGCTTTACTTAACAGCAAACGGCAAGAAGGACCTGGATTGTATTAAAAAAGAAAGAAAGAAAACAAGGTGGATTTCAGACTGAACACTTCTTTTTCTACGCAGCTGTTTTTTTTGTGTTGACAACAATGTTTGGTTCCTGAAACACTGATGCAGCTACAGTTTGTTGGTTTCTGCTCTGTGCTGTAAAATACGACAACACAAAATGRTTTACTTTCCAAAATCTGGCGCTTTTACAAACATAAAAAATATATATGTTTTTTTTTCCCTGCAGTTACATTTCAATATCAGCAGTTACTATTATGTTATTCAAAAGAATAATTATGTGTTTATTGTATTTCTTTTCTTGGATTTTATGGACAAATAATAAAAAAAAACAATACATATAGGGCTTTAGTTTTGTTTTTGGTTTATTTTTCAGACATTCATAATGGCGTAATTCTCCTTGATCCTATTTTGTAAACTACGACATGTAACTTTAACAATGAACAAAAAGTTTATTATTTAATAATAATGATAATAATAATAATGTATGTATTAGCGTTAGAATGTCGTAACCTGTACCTGGGGGTCTTTTTTATAGATGTATATACAATGACAGGTTTCAACCATTAAATGTGACCATTTCACAATGGATTGTGATGAGCTGGTTTCATTCTTTGCTTTGCCTTTTTTATCCACTAATAACAACAAAAACTATTGACTGAGTCTAACCGTTTTCAACTGATGAAGAAAAACTGTTGATAAAATTGTTTCGAAACACAAATTTGACACTTTTTTAATAAATATCTGTAAAGTACAAGACTATCACAAGGCTAAATGCTTCCCAGCAGTATTAAGAACATATTAAACGTCAAATGTTGAAATGTGTCATCTGCAAACTTGAGGATGTGGCAGCTCCRGTGTTTTGCGGAGTTGTGAGCAGGAAGAAGGAGGGGGCCGAGCACACAGCCCTGGGGTGTATCTAATCAGATCTTATATAGATATAAACTGATATAAATCTGTGATGGACTTGCAACCTGTCCAGGGTGTACCCCGCCCCTCGCACTGTGACCCCGTGACCCTGAACGGAAGGTATAGATGGATAATTTAAACATTTTAATACAGAAATAATACTTTATATTATCATAAATGTTATATCAACATGTGTAGAAGGAGCAGGAGGGATGCAAGTTTTTGTTTTGTTTTGTGTTTTTTGTTTGTTTTTATGAGTAAAAATGATGAGTTGACTTTTTTTATCCTAAATTAGCACTTTGTCAGATAAGATGTATGACTTGTACATTTAAAAAACGATGTGGTGCAGGTCCAAATGTCCTGTTTTGATCTTTCTCGCACTCTGTCTGTCTCTCTTCAGCCTGTCTCACCACCTCATCTTTCTCTCCAGCTCTCTTTCTGTCATTATGCTGACAAGTTCTGGCAGGCCGATTTGGAGGCCGAGGACAAATCAATACACCATCTAACAGCTGTCAGCTGGGGGTCTTCAGTGTGTGTGTGTATGTGTGTGCGTGTGTGAAGAGCGTGGATCTGCTTGCCTAGTATTGCATTCATTACTCTTTCCTCCCTCCTCATAGACACCGGTCAGCCCTTTTCTCCTTTTTTTCTTTTTTTTTTTTTCTATTTAATGAGGATGTCAATGAGAACTCAATTAATATTTACAATGACAATGAATCGAATAAAAAGGGTGCAGAGGACACTGATTTTATTATCMTTGTCATTGTCAGCGCTGTGGATCTGCTTCGCCCCTTTAGAGATGAAAAACAGAATTGTTGAGCTCACATTTAAACCTTTAAAACTTTAATTAAATAGCAAGTGGAATGTTCAGCCGTGCTCACAGTGTCTGCAGCCACAAAGTGATCCAAATTAACCTCAAGTAAATGAGAAGGAGCGCGCGCGTGTGTGTCTGTGTGTGTGTGTGCACGCTCTCCAGAGCCTGTCAGGTCCAGCCGACCCGCTCTACTCTAATGACTACTTTAACCTTTCCTTGAAAACGGGATGAATGGCATGATATCTGCTTCCCTCTCACCCCTGCCCTGCTTTCTGCCTCACACTTTTTTTTTTAATACGCAGCTTGCGGCCTTTCTTTCCTCAGCTGAATCTTTCTGGCCGACTGGTTTTGGCTGTTCCAACTTTCTCTTTATGCTAATATCCAAACACGCATCTCTAATTCCTTTGTATAATTCATCCATACAAGCTGGATTTCTGCAGTTTACTTTTTTCACGCTGTTCTTGCATCACTTTGCTCTGCAGACACACTTGTGCCTCTGCGCTYGGCAGCGTTGTTTACTTTTTCACAAAGTGGGGGGAGAAAAAAAATGAAAATCTGCGGTCAGACACAGTTTATTTGTGCCAAAYGCACAAACATGGAGCAATTCAAGGGCAGCTTTTCCAACATATTCTCAACAGTTACTGTATTAGTTCCAGCTGCAAAAACAAGTACAATCTGGTGTTATCAGTCCCTCCCACACTGCACATTATAAACCTTTTACCAAATAATAAATCAGAACAAAAGAGCTTTCTTTCCTAAAAGTTGTTGCTTAAATTGCTGTGTTGTTACATTTCACTCGTTCATTTTATGTTTTCTTTTTCTTTTAAATATTATTATTATTTTATACATTTTTAATCACTGCTTAAGGACTTAATTCAACTATGATACTTCAAGTCACTTTCAAGCCAAATGTGTTTAGGAGCACAACTAATGTCGATAAAAGGGCTGTACATATAAATAAAAGAGCATAGAAACATAAAACCAAATAAATTATGTAAATACAAACACATAACAAAATATAAGCAATAACCTGTCATATTAGAAACATAAAACAGAATATATAGAACACTCTGTTTTAAATGCCAAAGGGGGAAAAAAAACGTTTTATACAAATTATGAAAGTGTCTTTTGGCCACTAGAGGGCAGCAGAAACGCATTGACGACGATGCTCTGTCTGTGGTGCTGAAACACTTTGAAGTCTCTGCGTCTCTGTCCGTGGTGCTGAATAAACAAATCAAGCAACATTTTAAAGTTGTAACATTTGTTCAAATATTAAGAAAAAGTCAAGCTGTGACTGGATTCCATGAACCAATCGTRCCTGTGAAGGTAATACGGTCACCAGATGTGCACATGTCCGAGCCACATGATTACTGGCTGCAAAACTTGTTAGAAGTCACAGGAGTCGGACTTGAAAGGATAGATGTTTGAAAAAATGAAAAAGGTTTTACAGTTGTTTTGAAGTGAGCTCTCAGTTCCAGCAATGGTGTGCAACAAGGCAGGAGCCATGTGCTTTACTGACAGCCATCATTTCTGGGATGACAACACTTGTTGGCATCAACATAAGTGAGGTCATCTTGAATCAGCGCCACAGAAAAAGAGAAACCTTTTCTTTAATTTCATAATTATTCTGTGAGATACGCAAGCCTGATGAGTCACATGCTTGAGTCATTCCATCTTTGATTTGTGCTTCTAAAAAAATAAGAACAACTCAGACAGCTGACTGTAAAGCTGTTGAACACAATACAGCTAAAAAATCACTCTTTATGTGACAAAGCATGACAAATAAAAAGAAAAAAAGAAAAAAAAACATGCTTCAGAATGAAATTACAATTCCTAAAGACCTCTTCCTGAAAGTCAACAYAGAAAAGAGGGACATTTTAGGCTTGTCTTCACAGATACAGTCTCAGGCAGTGCTTAATTTGGAGTTTATCTGGGAGGTCAATTTGAAATGCATTAAATAACAAGTTTAGATACTTAAACAGACATAAAAAATTAAATGCCACCACTCCTTGCCTGAAATGGACCACAAGAACTAAAATATTCTGCCACTCAGAGACTAACCCTAGAAACAACAGATCCATTGATCAGATATTTTTATAGACAATATATAAAATGTGGCCATTTTATTTGTTTGTTTCTAATAACAAAATGTTTATACTCTAAAAAAAAGTCAAACTGACTTGTCATTGTTTGTCTTCATGGAGAGTTAATGTTTTAAAAACTGATTAGTGTACCAGTGGTAACTCCTATTCTGTGGTCTCTGTCCCCCTCTAGTGGTCACTTTAGTCAACACACACACACACACACACACACACACACACACACACACACACACACACACACACACA